AGGGGAAAATAAGGGGAAAAATAGGGGGAAAATAAAAGGGAAAATGGGGAAAAATGGGGGGGAAATGGGAAAAATAAGGGGAAAAGAGAAGGGAAAATGGGGGAAAAATGGGGGGAAAATAAAGGGGGGAAAATAAAGGGGAAAATGGGGAAAAATGGGGGAAAAAAAAAAGGGAAAAGGGGAAAAAATGGGGGGAAATGGGAAAAATAAGGGGAAAAGAGAAGGGAAAATGGGGGAAAAATGGGGGGAAAATAGGGGGGAAAATGGGGGGGAAATGGAGGGAAAAAAGAGAGGAAAATGGGGGGAAAATGGGGAAAAGTGGAGGGAAAAAGGAGGGAAAAAGGGAGGGGAAAATGGGGAAAAATAGGGGGAAAAATGGGAGGGAAAATGGGGGGAAGAGAAGAGAAAAATGGGAAGAAATAGGAGGAAAAAGGTGAAAAACGTGGAATAAGGCGAAAAACAAAATCGGAGAAAGAAGAAAAACATAAGAAAAAACCCGAAAGAAACCAAACCTAGGAAGGAAGGGGCAGAGGAGGAGCGGGGAAGGCGACGGCGCCGCGCTCACCTCCGTGCGAACCTCCAGCACCGACTTGAAATCGTTGGACATCGAGGCCAGCTTGGACTGGGGAGGGAATTGAGGAGGGGAGGGGGGGGATCAGAGCGGGGTGGGGGGAGGCTCTGGGGGGTCTCTGAGACCCCTCCCCAGCCCCACCCCGAGCTGTCCCCACCTGCAGTGACACCACCACGGTGTTGGAGTGGCTCTGGAGGTGGCGCCCGGCCGGGCCCCCCCGCGCCCGCACCAGCTCCTGCAGCTGCGCGATCTGCTTGTTCAGGCTGTTGATGTCCTGGGGAGGGGGGAAAACGCGGGGAGGGGGCTCAGGGGGACCCCCAAAAAACCCCCTGGGGGACCCCCAAAAACCCCCTGGGGGACCCCCAAAAGACCCCTGAGCCCCCTCCCCAGTCACCTGTTTGATGATGTAGGTGAGCTCCTCGATCTCCACGGATTTGTCGTCGAACAGCGATTTGCGTTTGGCCACTGCGGGGGGAGGGGGAGCTCAGGGAGACCCCCCCAGGACCCCCCTAAAGACCCCCCAGGAAGCCCCCCAGGAACCCCCTAAAGACCCCC